ATTATCGTTTAAACTTCGATTTTCCAGTGAGCGTCCTTTTGAAGTAATGTTCATAGTAATGAAAATTCGTTCAACTTCCCTCCTTCTCGCTTACGGCCATTTCAAGTAAAGATTCGAATAAAAACAGCAACAACACGAAATAACGCTTTCACAGATGCCGAATCAAGAGATGAAGCAACGAACGACATAACGAAAGCACCGGTTGATCCGCCATCTGCAACTGGTTTTCGGAGAGGAAGGCTCGTATTCCGCTTGAATCCTACTGCTGTATTTTTAATCAAATACAAAATTGAATTCGCTTTCGAATTCTCGCAGGAATCTCAGTCTTCCCATCAACACCGTGAACTCGGCGGAAAAACCGAGAATCCAAGACCAGGAACTCCATCTCTCGCCAGCATTTTCAGCTGAAAAACTCTTACAGCAAGTCCAGACGGCGGCTGATGAAGCAGTTTCAATCGTGGAACTTGTTCTAAATGCGGAAACAGACGATGCGGTTTCCGAAAAGCAAGACGAGCAAATCGAAGCTACTTCGCAGCCTGAGGAAAAGCCCGAACCAGAAATAACCACCGCAACAAATTCTCGAGAAGTCCTAGATGTCACTGAAACTCTAGAACCAACAACTGAACAATCACAAGACTCAGAACCCGATGATGAAGGAACTCAGACCACTACAGTGGAGAGCCAAGAAGCTACGGAAACACCAGAGGCTAGGCCACTTAAAGACGAACAAGTGGTTTCGACAGCCGATGACGAAGCAGAAGAGCAGCCAGCTCAAACAACCGCGAATCCCCAATCGAACCCCGACGATTTTCAGGAAGGGGTACCGGAAGACTCAAGCAACGAATCCACCACAGAAGAAACTAGTACAGTGAGTTCAGATGACGTGAGACACACAAACGACTCTTCAGAAACAACAACCATCACCTCCGAAATTTCCGAGACGAGCTCTGAAGTGCAAACGACTACAGAAAATGTCGACTCTTCCGTGGAGTCAACCTCCTTCGCGAATTTGTCTGGAGAAGATGATATCTCGGAGACAACGACGACAGGAAATCTGAGGGATCACAGTAATTCAAGTAGCAGCAGCAGCAGCGAAGAAGTCACATGGGATGCTTCGGATTCGTCGACAACGAGGTCACCAAATGACTCTTCGGAGAATAGTAGCAGCGAAGAGTAAGTATGAACCATGCAAGAATCTATATATGTTGTAGTTCTGCACACTGTACCTGTATAATCTAGTACAATACTGTACAGTACAATATATCTAGTGTGAGGGACATCTATGCGATGTCTTTCACATTACCGTAATGTCTCTACATGTGGATAGATGTCACCCCACAGAAGCAACACGTTTCACCCGAAGCTCCGGTCGCTTCTGGGTGGCGCTCATTCACACGCGAAGTGGGAAAAGAAACATCCTCCCATAAAGATTTCTAACTCGCACATTTTCTCCAAAATACGTTCAAACAGTCAGGTTAAGAGTTCAGAAAATGCAGAAGCCTTTTGTTTCAAAATACTGAAATACCGTAATATCTGCACTATGCAGAATGCAGGTAGACTATCTACGACGACCTCATCGACAGCGATGTCGACAACGTACAGAACAGTATAAGATTTTTTTCGTCTCCCGAGTTCTTTTCCCATGCTATAGGAATTCTCAACACCAAAATTCTCCCTACAAAGATATGTTTTCCATTCCCTCGGATTTCGTTATCCAGAGAGTCCAGCCGTATTTAAAAAAAAAAATCGTTCAACTCGTCTGCGGACAACTTCGCGTGAACGAAGCCTGATATTCTCCGAGGTTTGCATGGACAATATATTTCGGCATAACATGAATAATCACTTTACCAGGCCTCACTTGATTGTTTTCTATCCGAAAAAAATTAAAATCAATATATGAAGTATTCTCACGGGAGAAAATGCATAAATTGAAGGGTTTCAATAAAAAAAATACAGCAGACTTGAGTGAGAAAAAAGTCGTCCAACTTTCGCAACACCCGATGTCCAGTTCATTCCCCTGTTTCTGAAGTGTTCAAAGTGATTAAATGCCCCTCTATCAAATTATTCCCGCGTCTCGTCCGTCCAAAAAATTGTTGTTTTAAGAAACAGGAAGAATCATGTCTAATTTTGCTTCATGTCGCAATCATTAACCCACACATGCTTTCGATTTCTTCCTCTACAAGTCTACATCAATTACTGCACTCCCGATTCCGTTTCAGGGAAATTGGAGGGACAACCACTGAATTTGACACCTCCGACAGCACCAACGCTGCTGCAAGCACAACAGAATCCATAAGGTAAATCTCCAAGCTTTAATGCATAAATGCATTGGGATGTAATCCACGTCTGCAATACAGCTCGAATGACGATGAAGAAGAAGCTAATATTCACGAAGACGAGGCTGATGATGAAGTGCAGAAAAATGTTCAAGAAACGACAACTGATTCTGATAGAAGCCAAGAAATCGTCCAGACAACTACTGAGACGACGTGAGATTATTCAAAAGTCTTATTATTCAAAAGTTGTTGCTTTAAACTGGACTCGTCATTCTGGCAGTGATTCCTCGAAAGAAGCTCAGAATGCTGAAGTCCATCAAAACTGGACACATCATCCCGACAGAGAAGCCTCGCAAGAAGCTCAGATTGAAGAGCGGGACAACTTCGGAACCACGCCATTGCCCCAAGAAGAGCACACATCATCGCAACCGGAAACTGACGGTCAGTTTTCTTGGGAGGTTAAAACACTCTGGTTCATCTATTAACGATACTTATTTTGTCCACCACTGTGAAGATCATAATTAGCTTATCTTGAGCCATTCTAAATTATTAATAGCCCATAATTTGTTTGACCTATAATACAATTGGACCTCAAGTCGAATTCAAGGAGATCCGAAAAAATCGACCAAGCGAGATTCGAGATAGAGAAACCAGCTTTTTTGGAAGAAATATCAATGATCAACTGGGCGTTAATTATCTCGAAAAGTTAACTAACAGGATGCTGAACTTCGGGGCAAGGGTACACTCGACCAATTAGTCAGTAACTTCCTTTTGAAATAAGGAATAAATGTGTTTCTGTTTTGTCTTTCTACTTAATGGTCCCTAAGAATAATAGCCCAGAGGTATCCAGGAATTCGAGTTAGGGAGGGTTGGAGTGGGAAAGCCTTCGAGTTCAAGAGGTTCTTATAACATTGGTATCGAAAACATTAAAACGAGGATTTTAAAAAATATCGGAACAGAGAGGTTTACGACTTAGGAAGGTTCAAGTTACGACGGCTCAACTGCATTCATAACGTTTACAAATTCGCTTGATTGCCTGGAAAATTCTCGCTCAGCATCGTTTCATGATTTCACTGTCTCAAGCTCTCAAGAAAATCAGTCTGATCAATATTTCATTAAACTGTATTATTGTCCAGAAGAAAAAAAACGTGCTCGTTAATCTTCCAACATTGTCTTATTTGACTTACAGATACAACGTCGGACCCGCCTTCAAAAGACGAGAAGAGAGAATCAAGATTGAAAGACAACGCATTACGACATGAACCAGCAGGTCGGATTAACGTTGCTTACCTTCTGAAGTACGAGCATAGAATCTCTAATTCTCCCTTTCTCCTCTCCAAACAAAACAAAACTGGTACAACAGAACCATGATCAAAATCCTAATGCCGATCTCCAATCAAATCATGCCTTTCATCCAGTGATAACGAACAACATTTATAAAACGAGCCACTCTTTCCACCAGCTCCAAACACTGAAGCCGAGAGCTTCGATACAGATTCGTCCGAGTTACACACGTCGCTGCTCAGGGCATCCTACGGAAATGTACTCAATCATCCGACGCAAGTCAGGTCTTTCATCGTGGAAGCAAGACAAACTGCTGAGTCAACCGACCGAGCTGCTCCGAGAAACTTGTACCTCAAACTCAACCTGGATAAGTTATTGGATTCCCTCGCGAAAACACGGCGGACCCACTAATCTTGAAATTTTCTTTATGGGGTGGTCTAGAACTTCGCGGACTTTTAGGGAAAAGCGAGTCTCAAAAAAGAAAGAATCATTCAACAATATCAAGTACCAAGAGTACATGTTCTTGCTTCGCTCACAGACAAGCACTTCTGTGGACTTAGATTTCACTTTCATGCAACGCTAGTAGGTTAGTAGTAGGTTGATTAAAATGCACTTCCATGTTTCCCCAGAACGCATGAAAAACATAAAATTCTCATACCGACTCAGTCTGAGACAACTCTTGTGATATCAAAAATTAATCGCTTTTTTTTAATACAGCAGTTTGCTCGTCAGTAAAAGTCAAGTACAGTAGAATACATAAGGTATACAGAATTTTGAGAGCGACACTTATTCGAAGACAAAAGCAAATTCAGAGCAATTTTTATTTACGTGCCAACTTGACTTGCTAACTCTATTCAACCCTGAAGAATTACAGATAAACGTCAATTTAAAACGAAACTGACCCAATAAACATACGTTTCAAAAAGCATGTATAAAAAGGAGCTGATGAGTGAATCGACTGAAACTTTCGTTTCCACGCATTCCATTCAAAAAAGCAAGGAACAAAACTACAGTGCTATGTTTTGATACAAATTGTCTTCCACAAACGGAGCTTTCATGCTCAGGTTTTGGGGGTTTATCTCCTGATTTGGCGTCAGTTTCGATCATTGTTGGCGACTGAAAGCCAAAAGACGTGTTTTAATTTGTTTCTGATCAAGAAATTCCGCGAGTTTTATGACCTCCCCAAACATCATCTTGTTCTAGTCCAACAATGAGGGTTTTGATAAGTGTCATTGTACAGTTACCAAGTGTACATTCGCCTTCGGGGAGGCAGTGGATACGTTTGCAATTAACTAACCACCTTGATTCGCGGTGGAATGAAAAATATTTTTTTCGAAAACGCTTGCATTGAATTTACACATCTGTGATGCACCGCACGCCATAACACGAATGTTCCCCCGGGGGAAAAAAGGGGCAGAGCTGGAGAGATTTTGATGTGGAGCTTCTTAGCGAATTGAACATTTCACTGGGAAAGTTCTCACTGCAGGTAGCATTTCTTGAAAATTTCTGAACGATACTGGTACAGTAAATGTATGTATTTACCAAGTACAGTATTGGGGATCACCATGAACACGAATTCGCTTCCGCTCCCTCTCCAGGCTGTAGTTCGAGGCAAAGTATGTCCTGATACGTATGTTCGGTCATGAACACAAAATACGATTTGGATTGGAATGAGTATGCCGACGACGGCAATTAGGAGGCATATGGGTTCACGAAAACATGACCGAGCCAATCATATCATGACACGTTTGCTACTACGGTTATTCGAGGCGTTAATTTATAAATTTTTTTCCAGCTTACTTCAAGCTCGCTAATACTGTACAAAATATAAGAGTATCTGTCTGAAAAACGTATCGCTGCTCTCAGTTGAAAATGAATCCAACAGAAGAAATACGCCTCGAAAACCCCGAAGCATGACACGAACTTAAGTTGGAAAAGCAAGAAAGAAGAATACGATAGCATTACTCACGTCTTTCGAAATTTCAGGAGGAATTTGGCTAGGCATTTGATCACCATCACCCGGTGCTCGACCGACGAACATTTTTTGACCAGCATCTCCTTCCTCGTATTGCCCCTCATCTTCGAAGCCTTCCTCTTCTCCCCACTGTTATGAAAGCGAAGTGATCAATAAAATAACGCATGAGCACTTCCTAGAATTTTAATCTCACTGCGATAACAAATGCACTCGAAGACAAGTAGTCAAAATTCGCATGAAAATGCTCAAAATATAACATCAGCAAATTTGAATTTACCTTGAAAGAACTCCGATGGATAATGATTACTCAGATTATCAGAGATAATGATCCAGCGCTTTCTACGATATAATAGAATATTACACAATTGAACCCGAAGACAACGTGAAACGGTATGACAAGCATTCCTGCAAATTTCGAAGTGCAATGGCCGTCATATCTAGTTGATCACAGATAAATAAAGTAAAACGGCTCAAGTTCAAATAAATAAATACTGTACTTAAATTTCCATTCGATCAATCGAAACTTCAGCATTAATTGAAGTCCAAAATCTGCAATGAGAATTCTACAGTGAAAGGAGTTTCAACTCGCCTCCGCATCATCGTTCGAGTATTCGAGCCCTTCGCCTCCGTCGAACTGCTCCGTTTTAACCAATAAATCATGTTCGTCATGGAATTCTTCCATTCCTGCGATCGCTTCAGTAGAAGGTCCAGCCGTTTCAGGATCAATAGCTGGTAGATGCACATCTGTGGCCTACGTTTAAAATTTAAAAAAGGCAGGTGTCAAGGCCTAATTTTTTCGTTTTTCGAAAAATTGACTCACTCCTGTTGACGCATACACAACAGCATCAGGGACTGGCAATGATTCGTCAAGTTTCTGAGATTTGCACAAGAGAGCATCGTCAACTGAAGACTGGGGGCGGGGATTTCTTTTGGCACGCAACGATTGCCTCGGTCGCTTGGGATCTTCTTGCACTGCATTATCTGGAACGTTTGATGGGGTCGAAGGCCGAGATTCCCTCCTTGTTTCTGTTTTCACGGATTCATCAACTTGTAAACCTCTGATGCCCAGCTTCCGTCCAGCGGTCATAAAAGCTTCCAACGTCTCTTGAGGCACAAACGTTTCTCCCTTGTAGATGAATTCGAGGATCGATCCAAGAAGGGTGGAGGAAAGTTCTATAATCGGGATAACGCTCGCCTTGTCGTTCGGTACATTCTCGAACAACTTCTGGAAAAATGAACTGGACGCCGCGAGGAACATTTTGTGAGCCCGGAAAGTTTTCCCGTCGCAATGAAAAATGACATCGGAGAAGGCATCCAATTCTCGGAGTTTATGAACTCCAAGAAAAAGTTCTTCCATATGATTCGACCATGTCAGATTATATCCGTCCGACGCCATCACGGCTTCGGTTGACAAATCTGGAACATGATATATTTCAAAATTTTAAATTGCGAGATTCAAAGCTCACAGAAATTATGAAATCGAAAAAGCTTTCCATACGTGATAAAATCAAGAATGTTGTATCAACACAATCATTTTTAGGCAGAACACAGCAAAAACAGACAATCACACTATGATGAAGGAATCCAGGGATTTGGCTGGTAGTTGTCGATCACCAGCGTTTTAAATCGCAAGAGACGAACAGAAAATGTCCCATCGTCTCCATCCTTCGCAAGGCTGACATCCCGAACCNGATCACTTCCGGATCATCCAATAGTATATTTCAGGGTCTAAAATCGGCGGGTCATCCACAATGACCGCGCGCGAGCGTGCTGTGATCGATGGTCCTTCTAAATACAAAGCACTGAGTGAATGCTGTGCAAGGTCCAACAGAATATATTTCAGAGATGGGCCAAGCACGCATGATGCTGAGCCTGTGTGAACTTCGTGGCAATATAACCATGTGAGACCTTGACGAGGCGGAAACCCAACAACGAACCCTCGACCTTTCGAAATGTTGCGTATATAGCGCAGCGCGGTTCCAGCGCACTTCCTAGCTGAAGGACGAGTCCCGGGTGCTGTGTAACAAAGAAGCTCACTTCACTGGATCATTCATAAGAAGAAAAAATTCACCAACCGACATCAATGAGGATACATATGGAGAAATCGCCATGCTGTGAAAACTTCCTTGATCTACAGCGATATACAGTATACCGTTTATAAACTACAATACCTTTATTATTTACAGAAGTGCCAACCTTTTCTCCCAGAAATTGATATGTGCGTCATATGCTCTGTTGTACATCAATTTTTCTTTACAATTCTTCAACATTTTAATGCGCCTATCACAGTCGAATTACATTAATAGCTTAAGTTCATAAAAATGTAAAGAATAAATTAAAAGTGATACGTACTGTAATATAAATATGTATAGGGTCAAATGAAAGTTGAATTCAATTTCACGAAATCTGGCTTTTGAAGTATATCTACGAAATGTTATGTTCCATATATATACTGTATAAGAAATTGATAGAATCCAAATTCGCATTCAGTTGAATATATTAACTGTACATCATTATACTTACTGTGAAGTATATTAAATTGAAGATTCCAGGCATACATAGAACTGTCAAAATTTTAGAGACCGTACCGTAAAAAATAAAAATCCACTGAAAATTGACATGCGTGCTGCATCGTGTCGTAACATATGATTTTTTGTCAAATTTTAAATAAAAAATTGAGGTTTGTGTTATTCCCATCAATAAAATATGGACCAAAATTCGTCGACTGAATCCAAGGCTTTTCGCTAAACTCTTTATAACTCAAATCAGACGCATTTGTGCGATTATTTAAGCCACTGTTAAAAATATGCAATGAGAGACTAATTGGGCATGAAAGAGGTTTGCGTGCATTTACCTATTTGACTTATTCAGACCTATAATTGCGAAATTGGGATTCATCATGAGCAGGCCGGCTTTCTTTCGTGAAGATTCCTGGTTTCCAATATAATATACGCTGTATATCATACTGTAATTCTATTTCGGCCGGGGTATATGTGACAGAGCTATAGTATATATAACGGGCACTGGATCATTAAATGGGCGGAACAGGACATTCCAAGCTCTATATAGACCAATAACCTAACTGAACCTGAACCTGACTCTGACATCCGTGTAGGAACCACCGTTATAAAGGGAAATAAACCATGCATTCCACTTCTGCTGGCAGGTTAATATACTTCTCTGAAAAGTGACGAGGGCCACTCGAAATCCTGGACGACGACAATAATACCGCGGTCAATCCTGTGCTAATAACCAATGTTTTTAAATAATATTCTTTCTTAATTTTTCACAGCCTAGGAAAAATTCTATACTGTAGTTTAAAAAAATCAATCATACATTTTAAGGGTTTTCCTTGACACTTGTTCATCAAGAAAAAATGTGTTACTTGAAGAAATATGGCTGGTCAAAGGCGGTTTTTACTAAGGATATTTGTTGAACTGCTGCAAGCATCAATTGCCCAGCGAGGCGCTACAATGTACTGTACTGTATACTGTATTAGCATTTCAGTACATGTACAATAATTAAATATTCCCAATTATTTTGAACCTTCCGTTCCAGTGTGTCAACTGAATTTTGGCTTGGGAACTGGGGGTTTTTGCCGGAGAGGCAGAAGTTCGTTAACCTTGGTCCACTGTACACAGTACAGTAATATACACATCAAAAGGAAGGTGTATTGTCATTATGTACTGTATTAGGTTGGGAAACAAGTCAGTTTTCAAATGCTGAATAAGTTAATTTAACAGTCCAGTGTCAATTAAATTTCAGTGAAAAGTCGACCGCCTGTTATTATGAGAGATACGTTTTTGTTGTCTTCAGCGCATTATAGAATTATCGCAGGCATAATTATAATATTCATTTAGGAAAATCCATCAATCCTGAAAGGTTCATCAATGGATTTCATCATGATCAAAAACGAGTATACTGCTGTATAACTCTCCGTGAAATGCAACTCATATTTATGGCACATGTGAAGCATAAAACAATGCGATTTTAGCCTCAGTTCCGCGCGTATATAGCACTTCATATCCCTTATGATTTTCTGTTTTCCTTTTAATGAGGCGGGTTTATTCAGTCCCATGGTGATTGCGAATCTAATCTGACCGTCGAAGAAATAACAAGGTCAAGAAGAAACATGGTTCAAGTTCCAAATTTATTTCGATTTTTTTAAAGTCAAAGCATCACCGTGACTTCATCTTCGATGCAAGATGGATTACGAAAGCAGTGAGGGATT